TTGAGGGACGAGAGAGCAACACGAAGAAGATGGGGAAGGTGGAAGGGGGAAGGGTTTGAAGGAGAAGGCAAATTAGGGACCTTTGCAAGCAGAAGGATTAGGAAGGGCAAAGGAAGGAGAACTGGAGAGGTGAAGAACACAAACGACGAAGGGAAGGGGACTGAATATCTACATGGAATTGTTCTTTTTTTTAACATGGGGTGGCAGTCCAGTGAGGCACAAAACAGTGAAATTTTCAAAGTTAGCAGTCAAAGGTTGAGAGCAAGGCGAAATTCTACCAATTGAAAAACATTGAAGCAAAATTATACTAAAAAATATATTAGAATATGAGGTATGCTTGAGTGAAAACTTTAATGGTAGCTTGGTGTCATTACCTCTAAGCATTTGGTTTTTTTTTTTTTTGGTTAAAAAATAAAAATATCTTAAAACTTTTTTTATGAAGGGAGCTTGTTATCATAAACTTTTTTGGGATAATCTCCCCTCAAAACTTTTAAAAAAGGGTACAATTTTTTCCCATTGTTAATATTGACGGGTGTTTGACTGTTAAATTTTTATTTTGAGTCCATGCTTTACATGTGTCATCCCCTCTTTTTGTGCATTGTTCTTCTTCATCTTTCTCTTTGATTACTAAGGGAAGGGAATTTTGGCTCCTTTAAAAAAGAGTTTAGGAGAAAAAGTATCTCACCTACTAATATATGATATCAAGCACTCATAAAAAAAAGTACAAAAATAAAAATATACTTTAACCCTTGTTTATTTTTTTTTTCATGCTCTTATTTGTTTTTAACTATTATTTTTTCATGTGAATGAAGTTTTCAATACTTATTCAAACAAAAAAATATATATGTTATTTGTATGTTACAAATAGAATGTATACAGCTTTATAATAAGATATATTTTTTGACTATGTGTTTTGTATGGATTTTTTTAAAAAGAACTTATAAAATATCATAATTTTATTGTATTAGAGGATAAATTTTTATTTATATGATTCTCATTGATGAAAAATTTTAAATATTTTTTATTTATTTAATATAAAAAGTTGTTTTAATTGATAAAGAATAATAAAATTATAATTTTTCTTTTAAATTATGTTACCCATAAATAATGAGAATAATGTTGCTCAACTTGTGTTAAAAGTAAAAATTATGAGCTTGTTTGAAACTGTTTTTATTTTATTATTTTTAGAACATCTAAAAGTTATTTATATTCTTTTATTCTCTAAAACAATGTTTTATTTTTTTGTTTTTCAAAATAATTTTTTAAAAATACATTATCAAACATATTTTTTATTTTTTTTTTGTTTTGGAGAGCAAAAAACTATTCCCATAATAGATTGCCAACAAACCCTACAATTTTGTCCCTCTTTAAATTGTATTAAAAATAGTAAAATTATTTTGTCGTGTCATGTACCATATATATTGCATTAATCTGACATAACAATAATTATATTAACAAAATAACAGTTAATTGATAGTAGGAGGCTTTGAAAAATAAAATTAAAGGCTAGGGTAATCAGTTTTAAATGTTAAAGAGGTGATGTGGGTGATATGCAATTGCCTCAAAATTTAGGAACTTATATGCATTTTAGTCTAATATTAAATAGGGTTAAAGTGTTAATTTATCTAATTTTTTAAGATCCAAAAAATTATACATAATTATTTTGTATAAAAAAATTAATATTAATCAAGTCCTTTAAATTATAAATAAATTATAATAAATTAATGTTATTTCTTGCTCACATTAAAAATCAAAATATCATTTCAATCAATCTCTTTGATGGGCTATCACATGATTTTCAGATCACCACTATTGGTAAAAGCACTGATAAATGATTAAAAAATAATTTAAATATTATTATTTATTAATCTTCACGCGAAATTTAACCGTCAACTTTTAAAATATACAAATCCCCTAAAAAAATTTATAATTTTACCTAGTTAAAATTTCTGGAAGAGAGATTATAAATTTTAAAGAAAGGCATGTAAATTTAAAAGGCTGAAATTTCATATTTGAGGTGGTAATGCTTAATCGATAGCATGAAAATGCCATTTGTTTTAATTTCATGAGAAAACAAAATTTTAAATATCTACACTTTACTCAAGTTTTACTATAAGTCTTTATATTTTTTTTTAATATTTTAAATTATTATATTTTTATTTTCTAATGTTCCAAGCCCTTATAACAATACTCATTGAGGAATTTAAAATATTAAAAAATAAAAATGTAAGGACATGAAATAAAAAAAATAAAAATATGTAACAAAACTCAAACAAATGTAAAGCTTTAAAGTTACATTTTTCCTAATTTCATTGAGGGCTTTGTCTCGTTAGATATAAAGAGAAACAGTTGGGTAAAGCATGGGAACGAACGCGTCATTTGTGTTGATTTCATCGACGGTGCTGTCCAGTTACAAGGAGAAAACAAAGGTCTGTGATGAAACATGTCATTTGCATCGTTTTTTTTTTTTCTTTTGGGCAAACCATTTGTATTATTTTTATTTGAGCTATGAACTTTTTTTTTATAAAATAAAATATGCCAACATCCCTTTTATTTTATCTTAGTTATAGATTTTTTTTCTATTTTTAAAACTTATATAAATCTCTTTAAAAATCAAAATCTATATAACACATAGCTCTCGTCTATTTTAAAAATTCCATTTTTATTCATTCAAAACTATTAATTAACCATTAAATCATATATTTTTAACTAAAATACCCCCTCTTTAACATAAATTTTGTTCAAGAGTCATTTAAATTTTCAAATAATAATTATAATAATAGAAAAATGATAATAAAATTTTACCAAAATGTATAAATGATAAATTGATAATCAGGTCTCTCAAAATATTATAATTTCTCTAAAATCCTTAGATATCTTTTTGATATTAATGATTTTAGGTTAAATGATTATCTCTAATTTAAAATAAAACAAAATAATGAGTTCATATAAGAAATTGTGATTTCTTCTTTAATTCTTATAATTTATAAAATAAAAATTAAGATTGCTTGAACAAAATTTATAATTAGTTATTTTCAAAACTTGAACTTAACGATAAAAAAAATTACATATGAGATGTAATTTTTTATTCAATTCTTACAATTTATATAATAAAAGTTATGATTTTTTAAACAAAAGTTATAATTGATTATTTTCATAATTTAGACTTCAATAATAAAAGAAATTTTATGTGAGAAGTTGTAATTTTTTGTTCAAATTTTATAATTCACATAATTAAAATTATGATTACTTAAATAAAAGTTGTAATTGAGAATGATTATTTTCATAACTTATTTCTCAACCATAAAATAAATTTCACATAAGAAGTTATTATTTCTCATTTAATTGTTCCAATTCAAAAAACAAAAATTTTGATTACTTAAACAAAAATTGTACTTAAAAAAAATGGAGCCAAACCCATTATTTTTATTTTAAATAAAGAACAATTTAGTCAATTAACATAAAGTTGTTCATGCCAGAAAAGTATCAAGGAATTTCAAAGGAATTATAATATTTTGAAAAACCTGATTATTATGTATATATTTCGTTGAGATTTTATTATCATTTTTCTTATAATATATAAGTTGACAAAATAATATTAATTAATTTAAATTATTAAACTAATAATTTAAGAAAAATTACATATAGGTCTCATAGATTAAACTTATTCACAACAAGTCTTATAAAATTCAAAAACTATAGCCAGATCTCTTGAGACCTGAGTCTAATTTAAGATTAAGTTATAATGATAATAATATCTTTATTAAACATACATTACATTAATCAAATAATTAATTTATAGTTATTTTATCAATAATTTGCAATTATAATTTTACCTTTTTACAATTTTTACTTCATATATTTAATAATTAAATAATTATATGTTACTAACAAAGTTTAATATTAATTATTTATAACTATTTTATTAGTAATTTATAACTATGATTTTAACTTTTTACAATTATAACTTTACATATTCAATAGTTAAACTGATCAATTTAATTATTAGATATATGAAGTTATAGTTTTAAAATGTTGAAATTATAGTTATCAATTATTTAACTCATGTAATGTATATATATTTCACAGGGACTTTATTATTTTTTTTAATTTAAATTTTTAATGAGACTTAAGTTTTAAGAGACTTAGTTGTAGTTTTTAAATTTTGTATGACTTATTTGTTAATAAGTCAGCTCCACAGGAGCTATTTATAATTTTTTTCTATAATTTATTAAATTAAAAAAAATCAAGTAATATATCATAAAATTTATAAAATAATTATTTATTATTATTATAACCAAATATAAAATAATGTTTTTTTTACAAAATTTTTATAAAATAAATATTTTTTTATAAAATCTCAAAATTTCTTAAAATTATTTATTTTTTAATCTTAAATAAATGAAGCTTAATGTACTATCTAAAATGAGACAGCACAATGAAAACTCAAAATGATATATATTTTTGCTTAATATTAAAATCATGGTATTGAAAATCGGATCAGACCGGCCGGATCAATCAGAAAACTGGTGACCCAGTCCTTTGTCCAGTCTAGGTTTATCCTTAACCCAGTGAGGGAGTGAATCGATGTAACCCAGTCAACCGGGTTATTATTTTTTCAAACTTTTACCTCTAAAATGACGTCGTTTTTTTTTTAATTTTTTAGAGCTCTGAGTTTGGAAATAAAATAAAAAAAGTGAAATTGAAGTCAAAAAATAAAAAATTAGAGGCAGAGCATACTAAGTTCAAAAATATAGTATTTTATTATTGTTAGACTTTTGAATGGTTGGATTTAGTTGAATGTTTTTATAATTAATGTCTTTTTATTTAAATTATATTATTTTAATCATGACCGGTTTGCCACCGATTCAATCTTCAATTCAACCTCGATTGAATTATTAACCTATGATTTAATATCATGATCGATTTAATGATTAATTCAATTTTACGTACCTTGATTAAAATACATGATATTGCTATTCTGGACTGGGTCGCGAAAGTCCAGTCCATTGCAAAATTTGCGATGCGGGTATAGGCTGATTGCTGGGAAGCATTCGGAACCTACGGATTTCGCGGTTGAGGGAAAGGAGGTAGCAAGACGGTGAAAAGAGAAAAGAAGGCTTAGCAGCAGCGAGAAATGAGGAAGTTCGATCCATGGCCTGTTTTCTTTAAGCGAGAGTGGAATCGGAATTGGCCCTTCCTGGTTGGCTTCGCCATCACCGGAACCCTAATCGTCAAGTTCACCGCTGGTCTTACAGAGGAAGATGCTAAGAAGTCTAAGTTCGTTCAAGAGCACAGGAGGTAACCTATCTATCACCATTCTTCAAACTCTATTATTTGCTGTATGAAATGAGTGCGCCTCTCATGTTTCCGATCGTGGCAAGCTGAAACAGTGACTCGTTAACTCGATGGCACAATACTCAGCTCTTTATGAATAAATTGATTATAGATTGTTAGTGGTAGCACGGGTCCCCTCTCCCTCCGGTTAGGCTAATGATAAAATCCCAGGATGAAAGGAGCATTAGGGTGCACCATGCAAGAATAATTCCAGGGAAAGTCATGGCTGAAGTGATTGGTGTATTGGTATTAGGCCTCTCTTGTCCTTCATGCCCGAGTTGATTTTCTTGCTGCATTGCCAAATTCTATCATTATTATTTTCTTTTAATCCATCCTAGCTTATGGATTTGGTTAACGAGGTTGCTTCGTTCTTATGTTCCAGGTGATTCCAAGTGGTGTGTATGGCTTCCAGCTCTGCACTTTGTTTTCAGCGTCATAGTCGAGAGGTTTGGTGTTATAGATTGTAATAACAGAAGAGGGTTTCGGCATTGATCTTTGATTAACAATGGAAAAAGATCCTTGCCAAGCTTTCAATTAAACAATAGATTGACTTTTCGATTTTTTGGTTGAGTCGTTAACGTCAATCCTTATGCTTGAAAAATACATGATATTGTTTTTAGCAATGGCATTCATCTACAGAAAGTGATTTACCTTTTTGCCTTGTTTTCGTTTTCTATTAAACATACTAATCCATTTCCACAAACGGATTCAGTTTCCCATCAATATCACCGGGATAAAAATAGAATATAGGATGCGAGTGTTCTTCAATTTAATTTTTAATAAAATATATATTTCTCAAAAGAAAATCTCAAAAAAAAAAATGATAAGTCAATGCTTGTTTTTGTGACAATGGATTATAAAGGCAACCCTAAGCTGAACAAAGAAGACGCAGAAAGGTAGCCAGCAGAGAGCAGACTATTGCTACATGAAGAAGACAGGCAAAGAAAGAGGCATCATTGAGAAAAAGGAAAAATAAAGAAAGAAAGAAAGAAAATGAGAAGGTAATAAGGCTGCAAGGTTTGGACTAGAAAAAGAAGTTTCAGTTAGATTGAGAGTAGGGACCAATTACTTGGTAGTCAACGAAAAATATTGAAGCGTCCAAAAAGAATACTAGATCAGCAGCTCGTGTCGTGTTCACCATGTTAAGCAAGGTAGCACTAGGGACATGGGCCATAAAAGTCCAGTTAAAATTAAGATGCTCCAGGCTCCAATGATATTGCTTGGGCTTGAATTTTTTTAAAATTGGCATCACAGATTCTAATTTCTCTTTACCTTTGACCGGAGATTTGAACTTAGCATTGTCATGCGAATAAAACTATATACATACATACATACATATATATATATATACATATATATATATATATATATATTAGTACGATCGAGATAGGTGAAATTTTCATGACTTAAATTGATCAATTCTGAATGATACCATCACGCTGACCGAATAATTTGATTGCAAGTTTTCAAATAAAATTATCAAGTATTGACTAAGCACCTTCACATTACAAAGGGTAAGATCGTTAGCAAAATTGATCTCACTAGCCACAAGGGCAAACCCATACTCCATAATTCAGCACAATCAAAAGAAAAATAATACATAATTTTTCTTACCTAATTAAATTTATTTTCTTTCTTGCTTGTCAAGAAAACAATTCTTACAGACAAAACCCTAAGCTGAAGTCTCGCATAAATCACTCATTCCCTCCTAAGCAAAATGTTTATCACAACCCAAAGTCAAATTCAGCTCGTCTTAAAACGCCAGTTACCCTCTTGTAGAATTCTGGTTCTTCCTTCTTTATATCATCTACTGTCCGTGACTCATGCTCATCCGCCTGAACAAATAAAGAACTAAATTATCCATCTAAATATGTTCAAGTATTGAAAACAGATATCAAAACATCATCTAAAACATGTTATCTTCACAATGATTTTGACAACTCTAATACAAGGACGAAGAGAGAACCACTACAACGCGACAGCAGCAAAAGAGGGCACTCGTTTGATAGCTAACAAAATCTTTCAGCCACTATTTTTCAGTTTAGCAATTGGGTGTTGTTTTGCAGGTTACAGCTATAGTTTGGCACATAAACTCGTTATTATTAGTTTTAATCTTCCAGCCACACCCAGAAATCTGAACACTGGTTATAATCAAACGCAGCTTTGAATTTTTCATATATCACCTACTAAATAATATTTCAAATAAATTTTCAGGATCTCGCAAAAAAAAAATTCTTTTAATCTTATTTATAAGTTATTTTTAACATGTTTTAATGGAACAAAGAAAAACTTTAAAACTCATTAAGTCTGTTGACAAGTTTAAGAAATTCACAACTTTGTCCCTCCCTATTAAATATACATAAATAACTTACTTTCTCTCACCAATTTAAAGGGAGGTAAAGCAGGAAACCTATGATAAAAAACCAATAACATGCCTTATAAATACGATCATAAAAATTCTCTCTCTACTTTATAAATAGAACCAGAGGGAGTATTCTAGGAATATATGAAATTCAGAGGTCCATTTTCGTAATAGCACCTAAGTAACAAATGATGCTTAGTGCAGAAAAGTCACATTTCACGATTGTACCCTTTATGAAGCAGTGGTTGTGTCATGGGCGGTGCACTTCCTATTTAAATAGGGTGCGTATATAGAGACATGCATCGAATAAATAGGCATTCCAGACAAAATAAAGCTCACTCCCGGGACGGCAGTTACTAAATTACCTCTTTGAATTTTAAAAGAATTAGATTTGAAACATTGGCTGGTTTAGTGCGATCCCACCTGAACAGTCAAAGCAGAAAAGATTCAAATGAGTTCAAAGTCACTAAATATACATGGAAATTTTATAGTAAAGAGAAAAAGAGATCAAAATGTGCAGTAAGATTAGGTTGTCATCCCATCTATACAACACTAAAGCTTTTAGACTTCACTCTTATTTTCTCTTTTTGGTGGAAGGGCATCTCTGTAAGCTTCACTAATGATTTAAGCATATTTCTTTCCATAAAAAGTCACTCTTTCTTTCTTCCTTTCTTTTTTAAATTGGGGAAAACAAATTTGTCTCAAATGTTTAGATGACATGGACATGTATTTTGAGTACGTGTAATCTAATAGAAAATTAAAGCGAAAGTCAAAGATTTCAGACCTACGTTCCTACTGATAGAAAGAGCAAGCCACCAGAGTGCCTAAAGGGACGTTAATTAGAGTAGGTATATGCAACTTGAAAGGAATTGGTCTTACGTTTAAGAGAAGGAATGCATGTAATTCAGTAATTGAGCCAAGCTTCGAAATGACACACTACAGGACAACAGAGTCATCCATACCTTACAAGCATCAATTCATTAACTGATCGCCACATCCCTCGTCCAACATCTTTCGCAAACTGCTCTCTAGCACTTCTGCCGTGCCACAATTCTTTGGCAATATACATCACTTCTTCCACATCAACCTTTGAAGTGGGAACAAAGACAACAGATGATAGAAAACATGCGTAATTCTTTTGTGGGTAATAAAACAATCACATGTATAGAATTAAACACAGTCAAACACAAAAATTAGACGAATTTGTTGTAGTATTTAATTGCAACTTTGCAGAATCCACAATGATTGCGTTGAGGCATGCCAGCTGCTTTAAGAATCGCTAAAATGTCCACTAACGATAGTACATTGACAGTTTTAATTTAAATAAAAGAAATTTTGCTAAGGATAACAGTAAAATACTACTTGGTCGATAATATGTCTTCAAAAGAGAATAACAGGAAATTCTCATAACAAAATCAAAGGAGCAAAATGCCAGAATAACTCGCAAATGACAGAAAGTTTGTCAACCTCTCTGCATGTCAAAAACATATTCCCTTTATATATATATATATATATATATCCTTTTGCAGAGCGCCAAAGGGAAGCCATATAAGAAATTCTATCCCATAACTTATGTAGAGGTAATGTCGTAATGATATGCTTTTGAAGATGCAGATATTCCTACCAACCATATAAACCAAATTATCCTGTAAACTGCACATTGTTTCTTCTTTTTGTAACCAAACTTTTGAAATAAATTATAGGAGATTACTCCAATATTTGACCAAAAAAAGAGATTACTTCAATATAATAGGCACTTCTGAAATACCAGGAAATAGGTGGGTCCATGCTTTATAGCTAAGAACTTAAGCAATTAAGAGAAGGCTATTATGGGTTTGATTCACATACCGCCAGTTCTGAGTAGTCATAGCCCTAAGGATTAGGGCATGGAAAAATATACGTTCCCATACCTTGTCCTGAACTTTAATCTACTTAAGTGAATGATAGAGGCAGGGACAAAACTCCCAACTGTTTGGTCATGGAGGCTCCAATATCATGTCAAGGAGCATTATAATAAACTATTAGAACTTCGAAGAAATTATAGGAATGGTTTCAATGCTTCTATCTCTAGACATGTATAAATATTCTTCAAGCAAGAACTAGAATGAGTTTAATTTAAGAATAATAACTTATAAGTCTGTTGTTAGTTCTAAATCAATTTAAATCCTTTAGCTATATCATACTGTGTGTGGTTTAGCATAAGGGGAAAAAAATCATTAGGTTCTTTCCAGGAGCGTTAGTTTTGAGGATATACATGAAAGTCATGTAAATGAACTATATTGGCAAGCTAACCAGTTATTTTAACTCGCCCAACTCGAGGTGTAGCTATTTTCCTTTAGCTCAGTCAGTTTAAATAACTGCTTTGACCATGCGCTCAAGGGTCATTTTTGGATGAGTTTCAGCGTGGCTCAATCTTCAATGGATCAATCTGATAGAGCTGGTGATTCCCAAAAGATTTTCCTGTCATTTCCTAAGGCTAACAGTAGACAATCTAGCAGGGAGGTGATTTAGAGAAGACTAAGACCAGTGGTCAAGAGGTTTATTTGAAGGTTTATAACTGTAAAATTCAAACGATAAAAGAAAAGTCAGGTTAGGTGCAGCCTAGGATATGGGTACTGTCAGTAGGGGTAATGACTACTTTTTGACTCTTTAAATATGTACTTCCGTGATGAGGGATGGAGAGGACTATTGGAGAATTGTGGTCAAGTGAGAAGAGTTCTGGCCTCTGGAATCCCAGATTAGGGGTGGAGAAGATCATATTTTCTTCATCATTTTATCTTTCTACTTCAGTTTGTATTTGTGGGACACCAGTGTTCATGTTGCTGCTTAGAGCGTGTAGTTTATGTTGTTTCATGCTCTGTAATTGCCATCTGAGTGTAGTTTCAGTCTTTATTTTGATTGTAATCCCACTCTATTGTTCAGCAATAGTAATTATTGGTTACATTTACAGTGTATTTTCTGGTTTTGCTTATTTTTAAGCTTAATAGAGTAGAGGGTTCCATCACAATCCATGAACAGTAACATGAATAAGGAGATTCTGGTCCAGAGGAAGGCATCAGATTAGTTAATTTTCACCTTCTCATGCCTAACGGGCCTGCTGTAACTGAAACTTTAGGAATACAAAGAGAAATGAGCAAGTTGGGCATGGCCCAATTAAAGCCGCTGAAAATCCATTCTAGTAAGGAGAAACGAAGTAAGATGATTGGGAGGGAAGCAAAGAAAATGAAGGATGGTAGTAGCTAACTGACACATGGTGATTGTGAAGTGACAAGCAGAAAGGAAGGAATATTGAGGACTCAGGGCTGAGGAGGGAACAAAAAATCTAGAGAAGGAAACCTGAGGAGAGGATCCAGCCTCTTGAATGCCGGATACCTTTCAAGTTATTATCTGCATGTTAGTTCTTATTTTGCTCTATAGCTATGTCATAACTATATTTCTGTTTCTGTCATATCAACTCTAGTATTTGGATTGAATAATACAGAGCAGCAGAGTTTCTATCAAATTTCAAGATAATTAGTAGCTTAAGTGTTAATTATGTTACTGTTTGGAGCTACCCCAGGGGCATCCCGGCAATGCCTTCAATTTCTCTTGCATTAGCTCAATTGCAACTCCTTCAATTTCGAACTGCTTATTCAAAGACCAAAGACGCCAGTGCTCGTGGAACTCCTAGTCAATTATATCTCACTTTGAGCATCTTTAACACACTCTTCAGAAAATCACGGCAGCATTTTCATCCCAATTTAATCACTTTTTTACTATCCCATTTTAGTTTTCGACATGGTACATACCTTAAACCAAGCCTTCCAACCTACAAAGAGCGATCTAAATCCTAGTTCTCACAAAATCTAAAGTTTCCACTTGAGATAATTTTTATGTCAAAAAATTAAATAATGACAGATTGTAGAAGTAATAATCACATACAAGGAAAAGTTGGTGAGACATCTATTGATAAGAAAATAATAGAAAATTGTTTGAGATAGTTTGAACATGTAGAAAGAAGGCTGCTGAAGGCACCAAAGAAGAGGGTGGACATATGGTCTAAGTCTAGAGTTTTGTGAAAAAGGGTAGAAGAAGGTCAAAGAAAACACTCAATAAAGTTATTGAATGAGATCTTTTGATTAACAATATATCTAAAGTTTTGGTTGTTGATAGAGCACAATGACATTATGCAATATATGTAGCTGACTCCATCTATTAGGATAAGGCCTGTTGTTGTAAAAGTAGTAACACACAAAATATATCTTTCAAGTAACACAGAATGTTTGTGTGCAGAGAAGGAATATAAACATATAAATTACTCAGATGCCCCACTGTCCATGCACTCCTAGCAAGGATATGCTACCCAACAATAAAGTTATATACTTTGACAAGATGTCCGTAAGGTAAACTTCATACCTGCACATGCACAGCTGAGCCATACAATGACTCCTCATGCTCAATTAGGCGCTGATGAAGAGTATGGTAATGATCCGTGTCAAAATTGACTACAGGTTCTGTTTGAACTTGCAACCCTGCTAGACATGTCACAACATAGGAGGCCATGACTTGTCCAAATATTGCCGGGATGGAGCCCAGCACAGGTATGATACGGACCCTAAAGCCTGGTACAATCTAGCAACAGATAAGATGTCAGCAATCTAAGCCATTACAGCAGACTCATGGCGATCCATGTCATTAAACATTACAGTAATGATAATAATCAGCAAAGCATAAACTACATTACCAAACAATAACAAGCATATCGGTGGTATTATTAGTAAGTCAAAAATTAACAAAACCAATACCCTCACCTGATAGTCTGAAGGGTTTTCCTCTTCTCCACTTGGTCCTTTGAATGGAAGCAACTTTACTTTGGGTTTCTCTAAAGAAAAGGCAACAGGAATACCACCTTCAATGCCATGATCTTTCCTCAAGCGGTGTCTTACCTAATAAAGGTATGATAATATAATTATTGTCAGAAATCTTGACAATAGCAATATAGGCAAAGGGGAAACATCACCATGAAAAAGCTTGCTCTCATGTTGGCTTTTATTTTCTTTTCATAGTAACACTTATGTTGAACATCAAATATTGATATTCCAAGTAACATGAAAAGTATGCCAAGAGGACAATCTTGTCTAGATTACCCATGAATCTATAAACTGATCTATAAAATTTGGTCTTTTAAAGATTCTTGCATCCAAAAGAGTTCCAACCTTTGTGCGGACACATGCTTTTTAGTACAAGTATTTTGCTGAGTATATGAATGCATGTGAGAGAAGGCAAGACATTGGTTTACTCTTAGGATACATAGGCGTTAGTGCATACAATAGGGAAAGGAAAAACTAAGTAGCAGGTTAAACTGCCTAAGCAATTACAATATGCGGTTTTAGGCCCAACAAAATATAAGTAATAGTAAAAAAAGGCAATGTCAAAGTATTACAGCTCGAGATAATGGATCATTAGTGGATTCTCTTAGATCAGCAATGCGTATTCTTGTTGGATCGGCCCGAGCACCAGCTCCCATAGCAGATAGAACCTTCAATCCCCTACGTACACATGCAGCAAGAAGGGCCACCTATCACAATCCACAATCAAGCAATTGAAAGTGAACTCAAGATCATTACGTGTTAGCATAAGAATGACTTTAAAAAGGGAAGATGATCATAAGGTAGGAATGTGTCATTGGGTTTCATCCTTCCAGGAAGCCAAACCATATTGACTAGTGTACATATATCTACAACCTTTGCTGATACATCTACAATCTCAACAATTCTCACAACTCTGAGTGTAAGCATTCAAGTGAATTAAAAATCAATCATTGATGTAAAAGCAAAAACTACTTTTACGATTATTAGGTATACTATCTGATAAAGCCCGTTATTTTCCTAAGACATCGGAGGAAGTCAAAGGGGAGGAATAACTCTAGTGGAATACTTTAACTGGTCCAGGAACTTATCCTTCAGTCCCTAGCCGTAAGGAACAGTAATTTGTGATCTTTTGTCATGATTAGAATCTGTGGGTAGTATAGGCTGTGTGTAAGCCATGCGCTGAGGTATTAGTCGTCTTTTGTTGGAGAGTGGGGGTTAAAAAGGATAATGAAATTGTGAGGAGAGACTGGCCTCTCGAATGCCAGTGGGAGGGAACTTTTATTTTGAAGCTTGTAATCTGGTGGCAGAGTTATTTTGATTTTATAGAGGAAATAGAGTTTTTGCCAGAATCAGAGAGTGTTTCTTGTAACTCTCATTTGGTTCATTCAGCTCATTATTACAAAAAAACATCAGCATTTTCCTCTCATATTTAGTGCTGTTATTGTCTTATTTATCGTTTCTGTTGTATTACTGGTTTGGGTCACATTACTATCCAAATTCATCAAGTTGGGGTATGTCTATGATGTATGAAAAATATTCCTTAAAAGGGAGAATACTAGCACACATCAATATAATAAAATAATGAGTAATTCAATAGAAGATACCTTGTATCAATGTTGTCAATACAGTCCAGAACAAAATCAGGATGGCCTGAGAGAATTTCTTCTTCAGTAGATGTATCATATAACAGAACTTTTGCATCTATTTGGCACTCCGGGAAAATAGATAAGAAAATGCTCCTTGAGGCACTGAGCTTTTGGGATGCCAACATCTGCTCTTGTTGCAACAGCGTGTCGATTTAGTGAAGAAAGAGAAACCTTCTCATTTAATAAATAAATGAGTATATTATTGTAAAAAAATCTATAAAGATTCTAATGCAACCAAATATGACATAAATTTACAATTCCTTCTAATTTATGAGATGTTTTAAAAAAAACGATTTATGGGCTTCTTAAGTCATACAATGGCTTATACTAGGGTAAATAACAGCACACGGCTGTAAAGGTGATATCTGAAGCTTTTAAAAATATCTTTAGCAGGAAGATAAAAGCAAAAGTACCCAGTTGATATTTGATTCCCCTCCAGTTTTTTAAACCAACAATCAACATCATTACATCTTTACTCTTCACATATAGATTTTAAAACTTACATTGACAGGACATGTTCCTTATTACAGAGGGTATCTAGCATCTGAAGGAAAGATGCTCCAAATTAAATTAAAATGCTTCGAACCATGTTTCAACAATTGACTTCATAAAACATTATGATGTAATATAAGTTGGCAAAAAAAACCACCACTTATGGCACTTGAAAAAATTAATAAAATACAAACATTAGGAAAGCATACATTAATTACAAACCAGCCCATCAGATAGAGGCTTGGACATAAGTAGTTTGAGGTTCCACCTTTCACAAGGAAACAGAGCACAAAACAAACAGGGATGACACACTGAAACCCTAATACAAAGAAAGAAATGGAGAAAACAAAACATAGAGAAGGAAAGATATTGCAGAAAGAAACCTGGTCAAAGTCCACTAGAAGTAGCTTGCCAACCCCTGACCTCAAAAGCATAGATGCAGCATGACTACCAACCCCTCCAAGGCCAATGACCACAACATATGATGCAGTCACTTTCCTTTGAGATTCAAAACCAAAGAACTGAATGTTCCTATTAATACAATGAATATTCCAGAGGAAAAAACTGTTTGATAAGTAAACGCTCAAGAAAAAGACATCTCTCATAAACGTGACTCATATCCCTTAGAATGTGAAGATGTACCATAAATAAATCTATAACATTAAGCGATGATATAGAGACTAAAAGAGATGTTGTCTTAGTAGTCACAAAAGACAGAAAAAAAAGCTTCATTCTCACTGGGCCAAAACATAATAGCTAAAATATAATAATTGCTCTCTAATCAGCTTGTTCACATTAAGCAAGCCTAAGAAACAAGCCACAAGCCTGTGCAATAATGGTAACTCAAATTTGTTGGTTTATTAGTCTCAAGACTCATCATACAGACAAAGTAACATGTAAAAACCTTTAATTGCCTATCAAAGCTAGTAAGACAATATGCATGACAGAAATCTATGAAGTGACATCCAGACTAAATTAAATGTCTAGACATATAGAACAACTAGTTGATGCAAAACGGAGGAGGGGCAAAGGGAAAAGAGAGAGAGAGAACAGAGATCAAGAGATTAAAGAGAAGAGAAAAACTCAAAAGGAAGTCAAATAATACTCAATTCTTATCCATTCAAAAAGGCATGCAAAAAAAATGTGTTAAGGTACTATTTATAGGCCTGAACCCTAGTACTAAAATCAAAGCATTAAAAGTGAGAATATTTAAGGAATCTGGAATCCTAATAATTTAATGCAAATATTCTAAAATAATTTAAAAGATAATCTAGTAATCTAAAAGATTACATTTATTTAAATCAAATCCTAATTCAAGTCTAAGTAATCATCTTGATAAAATGAAAATCCTAAATCTAATTAGTTAGATATCCCATCACCATTACATCAGCATAATACCAAAAGGCCAAATATATTGATTCATAAGATTGGTATTGACCTACACTAGCATAAGAGCTACTAGCCAATGGTCTTGCTGTGAATAAGATCGTAACACATGTGCCAACAAGTTCCACAATATAATACATAGTGAGGCAAAGAGATAATTTATTAAATGGAATTGTGAGATTAAGGGTGACAACTTGGCATACCTAGTCAGGTGTTCAGAAACAATCTCATCATTTAGAAGATCTTCCTTAGCCACCTTATCATTCTTCTTATGAGTGGCAGTACATTTCTCCATACCTGTACAAGACACAAGACCCACACTTACAACAAAACACTGAACAACAACCAGTGTTCTTAATTCTATGGCATGAAGTAAAACTTTGTCCATGTGAGAGCACAAACTACGTATTGCAACCTAGTTGATAATTGAAACACATGAACAGTATTCCTTAGCAAATGTGCATGACCTGCAGTAGAATAGCAGGATAACTGCCACAATAGGCATAAACATCACTGTGCCACCACTATCATCAATAAACCTAAAATTACTATTTGTTAAGCAAAAATTGCAAACACCACATAATAAATGGAAGGGATTGAATACAAATAATTCACTATACCCCATATAACCACATTCAGATTCAACCTACAGTATCATTAGCCAGCCCCTAAAAAGTCCGTTGTTTAGCAAGAACTTTTTATATGTATATGGCAATACTCTAACTTGCTCACATCAATGATCATCTGAATGTTACTGCAAATGCTTTTCTTTTTCCTATATTTACCCCATTTATGCTAAAACCAAGAAATTTCATATCAGGCAAAGATTAAGGGCATCAGATAAGAACAGGATTAATTAAAATCAGACAAGTTGAAGACAAAACATCACTTACCGTTTAATTCAGTAGTATTCTTTCCGCATTGCTGTACACTGCGTCTGCAAAAATCATAGTCAGTACCGTTGAAAAAAGACAAACTCCAAATCCAGGCAAGAGGCAACCACTAAGCGTTGCATAGTATTTGAAATATCCCGTTTTCCCAGCCTTAGCTTTCTTCCTAGCAGGCAACATCATGCCTCCAAAGACAAAATGATCATATTATTGGTTAGGCCCCAATTAATGAATACAAAGTTTCTAGTTTGCATTTACAACCCAAATTTTTCTCCCGGAACTCACACTATCTCCGTCACATGTACATTTAGACCCAAAGAGAGAGAGGCACGAAATAGTTCACTTGCTCATGCTACAGTTTGGAAACAAAGCTAAGCGTCCAAAAAGGTAATTTTAACTTATACATTTCTCGGTAGGCAAGTAGGTAGAGACTGACTCACTTTTGTAGAAGCTTTAGAACGAAGACGGTAGACACAGAGCCCAAGAGAGCTCCAGCTCCCACCAATGCCACATACTTGGCTCTGTCCATCCGCTTATGTATCTTTTTATCTTTGGTCGAAGAATAAGCTCTTGCCAAAACACCGTGTTCGAGGTCTTCCGAATCCTGGGAATTACCCTGCACGCCGACGTCCCTCGGCCGTTTTCCGGTTTCGTTGAATAGAGACGTCGTCAGCTGGCTCGAATGATTTGGACCTGAATCAGCCCTTTTCATTGGCTCGAGTTTTGGGTTTTTTTTTTCGTTGAGGGGTTTTTTTTTTCCCCGTAAGAATGAATATAAAAAAAAGGGAAGACTTGGTAGAGATAACCTAGTTGGAACTAAAATTATACCCAAGGATCAAATAGATTGAAAAAACCAAATTTATTATTTTATTTATAAAATAATTTGATTAAATGACTAAAATGCTCCTCTATGTTAACTAAAAAGAAATTAAAAAAGATGTACAAAATTCAATCACCAGAGCTTTGGTCATTGCTTTAATAATTGATGATACGTTTGCTGGAACTCGATCAGCAGATGAAGAGTTGTCAAAAAAATTCAACTCCCCTTAGTTATATGTAATCATCAAAGATTACATGTAAATTTAACAATCAAAGGATGTAAGAATTTTGACTTAAGGTTTAAGACTTCTAGCTTAAGAGCAAAAATTTTGGCTTAAGAGTTCAAGACTTTCTAGCTGAGAGCAAGGATTTTGGTTTAGGTGCAAGGCTTCTAGTTTAGATGTAAGGCTTTTGGATTTGAGATGCATGTATTCTAGCTTGGGGTTAAAAGTTTTAGCTGGAGTTCAAGAGATCTAGCTTAGATGCAAGCTTATGTTTAGGGTACACGTGTTCTTGCTTGGGGTATAAAGTTTTTGGCTTGGGTGCAAAGGATCTAGCTTAGGATACACGTGTTTTGGGCTTAGGGTGTAAGGTTTCTAACTTGAACAATTATATTTAATATCTTATAAATTACATGTAAATCAAGTACAAAAGTGTACCCACTATCACACCCCTATAATTACATGTAAATCAATATGAGAAAAATTTGTGAGCATATCTGAGAAATAATTTACATGTAATCTTTAATGGATTACATATAAATCAAATCCATAAAAAGCACGCCCTTATCAATCCCCTAGAATTACATAAAAATGATTATTGATTACATGTAAATCATTGTGGGAAAAATTTATGAGTATGCTTGACAATAATTTACATGTAATTTCTATTGAATTACATGTAAATCAAACACATAAAGCGCACGCCCCTGACAATCCCCAAAATTACATGAAAATGAATATAAATAACATGTAATCAATATGTGAAGAAACTCACAAGCATGATTAAGGAATGATTTACATATAATCTTTAGCAGGTTACATGTAAATCAAACACATAGAAAGCAGCTCCTATCAGTGGCCTTGAGTTACATGAAAAACAACTATAGATTACATGTAAAGAAATATATGAAGAAATTCACAAATATGGTTGAGGAATACTTTACATGGATTATATGTAAATCAAACACACAAAAAGTATCTTATTGTCATGTGCCTCTATTTACATGAAAATGATTAAGTCAGAAGCTATGCAACCTAAACTAGATCTTGCACCTAAGCTAAAACCCTTGCACTCTAAACCAAAATTCTTGCACCCTTAATTTTGCAACCCCAAATCAAAAAATAAGGGAACACTCACAATAAGTTCTCTTTTGTTTAAGTATTGTGTATTCTATAACAAGTCATATTAAACTGTAAATGATGCGAATTCAACATGTAACATGGAGGACAATTAAATTGTTCTTGAAAAATAAGTAAATGTAAAGAAGACGAATGAATAACAAAAGTTTCAATGAAACATCAATAATTATATTAGATTTTGGTCTATTTTTCTGTCAAATATGATCAAAATGATAAACAAAGATTATAGGCCATTTCATATCAAAAAATATACCATGGGGGTAAGAACAATATTAGGCCCCATGTTAAACTACATCTTACCCTACAAAAAAAAAAAAATAAGAGAGATGGCTATAAGTACACTTTAAAATACAATCACATTTTTATTTAATCTTTCAAGGAATTCCTTGATCAGTATTTCTTTGTAGCTCGCTTGAATTATGAGATGCGTCTAAGAGCTTTTTGACTTGAACTTTTTTTTTTTCTCATCTTCAGCTAAAACGTTATGCTTCAGTGCATCTAAAATATTATGTCTAAAATAAAATAATAGTTATCACAAACAGTTATTCAAACATTAACACACAACACCCACAAAATTGCAACTAGCAATTCAAAAGATTATTAAACATCCCATCACAATTTACAATTATCTTGTGAGAAATCTAGATTTCACATGCCAATTGATATGGGATGATTTAATGCTATAACAAGTTTGCCTTTTATTATTCAAATAACAAAGAAAATATATTAAAGACAAAATCACAATATAAAACACACTGATATTAATCCAATATCATAAGCTGATATGCCAATTATAAGGTAATGTTTAAAGTTATAAACTGAATAGATAAAAAAGATGACAGACTCAAAATATTATTGATACTTGAAACATAATTTTTTGGAGGTTCATTGTGATTTTTGAATACTTACATGATTTCATTATGATGTTATGAATGATTTAGTCAAGTAAATCATGGTCAAGTATTTCATCTACATTATATCTATTGAAAAATAAAGCAATTCTAAACAAAATGATTGCATTTTGTATGCATATGACAGAATGAAAAAGCTCACATATTTTCAAAACAAGACATTGAAATATAGGAAAAATTTGTTTGAATAAACAAGATCAACAAAAATACGTACTACATTACTGTTTATAATTTCTCCATTCTAGCAGCAACATTACAAGGTAGACATCTTGCTTTTTGGTTCTCAACAGAAGTTGTACAAAAATACAACAAACTCTTCTAAATTATAATAGTCATAAAAATTATAACAACTCATTTTATATGACATAGATAATAAGTTGGATTGAGCTAGCACTTAAATAGGATAACATTACCTCAATAGCTTTCCAGTTGTGGGTGCACAAGAGGACCTCCGTATACTTCTAAAGTAGAGGTAAGCAAATACTGCCCAATAAAAATGAAGAAAAAGAATAAAATCTCCAAACCATGCTCCTACTCTTTTTGCGTGGCAATCATGTACAATGTTCCAATAACATTAGTCTTTATTGTCTATAAAGTTTTTTAACTATCAGATTTTCTCAAGGTAAACTAGATAGATAGAACTTTCAAATCAATGATAATGGTATGACGGGAATTTCTACTTTGAATGGAAGATTAAAGTACAGTGATAATCATAGTAGGATAATAAGTGAAGACGCTGAAAGGAAATCACATAGAATTCAAAACCAGAATCACCTAGAAATTGAAGGGTCTCTCCCGCAAACAATGAAGGGAAATCGTCACTGTCACTGGAGCAAGTCATCGTCGCTATCACGAGGTTGAGATCAATGAGGAGTTTGTTTGTCACTGTCACTAAAGAAAGGAGGAAGTCGAATTGAAGAGTTGGTTGAAGATGTGGGGTTGAAGGCGATGGTTTGATGTCACTGTGTCATCCTTGTCAGTTTGCTGTCTCTTCCTGTGTTGTCGCACTTGCCACCCCTCGCCCAATCGCTTTCTCCTAGATGTTCTTAACCTCGCCCAACCAAATCCACTCCACACACTGCCAATGCTCTCCGTTACAGCCACGCTCAACTTTCCCTTGTTCAATTGACGTCTCTCTGCTTCTTCTCCTATTAGGATCATCTTGAACTAGCAGTTTTTTTTTTTTTTTAATTTCATTGATTTAAACATAGAGATATTTCGATCATTTATTTATATTATTAAATAAATAAAATATTTAGTTTGATTCTTGAATTCAACTTAATCTTTAGGCATAATTTCTCTTTTAACTTAGTCTTTTTTACCAATTCTTCAAAAAAAAAAAACTAACTCTAACTTCCTTTTTTAAGAGGAGAATGACAATAAAACGAAACATGTGAATGACAAATAAATACAGTAAAATATGATAATTATTTTATAATCATTAGGTAATTGTTCAGCATTTTTGGTTTTTTAGAAAAATAATATATTTGCTCCTTCCTCAACCCTTTTTTCCTCTATCTCCCACATCCACACATTTGCCCTTTGTTTCAGGACAATCCAGTAGAGAAGAACAAGGGAGGGATGTGGGAGACACAGGAAAGTAGGGTTGAAGGAGGGGTGCATATGTCATTTTTCAAAAATCAAAATACTACCTAAAGTCTAGAATAATTATCATATTTTGCAGTACATGTTGCCATTTACATTTGAAAGTATTTTATTACTATTTTTATTTTTTTAAGTAAAATATTGATGAAAGTAATGAGTAAACTTCTCTTAACTAAATTGTTACATAGAAAAGGATTAAAATTTTTCACCCAACAAAAAAAAAAAGAAAAGGATTAGAATTTAAATCCCCAATTACTTGTTTAAATCACAAGACACATGCCAACTTAATTAGTAAAAGACTCTGATTTCTAACCATTAATAAATTGCCACTCATAAAAAGCATTTTTATGTTATATATGAATGTAAGGCTGATAATAACTTTTATATTATAAATTCTTTAAAAACAAAATGTTTAATTTCAATTTTCATATACAAAATCTGATCGCTGATTTTTTTTTCCCAAGAAAAAGAAACGAATCATAATTCCCAATTTTATCTAAGGTCAAAATAATATGAGAGAACATTAATTACGAAAACTTTTTATAAAAACAAATCTACCAAGTCTCTATAACTCGGCCGAAAGAAAGACAAGTAAATCACGCCTATTCACCTTGTTTTTGTTGTTTTCTAAATAGAAAACAGATTTGATATGCAAAATACAAAAAAATAAAACCCAAGAAAAAATTCTTTAGATTAGAAATATCACTCATGTCCTTAAATAAAACCTAGACCCTATGTATGTAACAATTTAATTCGAAAATGTCTCCCCATTGTTCTCAATGCAGAGTCTACTTCTTATACTTAATAAAAAAACCGAAAGAAATTAATATATATTCCCTAACCACCACACAGAACATTAGGCCTTAGCCTCCCCAAGGAAAGGAACGTCGAGATGTTCTCTGTTGCTATAAGTTGGACTGCTCTTTGGCACAAGTTAAAATGAGAAGTTTTTACAAATACTAAATGTCCTACACATGAATGTACACAACTTCAGATTCTTCTCTCTTTTTTCTTTTTTGTCTTTTCGGGAGGAGGGTGGGTAATGACAATTATTCACAGGTGTTGTGCTCTCCAGT